TATTTTTTATGAATGTACAGGATGCCGAGTATCCATATTAGTTTGATACAATTGTATACAACAAATTGGCTTTGATAAACTTTCCAGAGTTGAACTCGTGAGAAGAAATCAAAATCATTTTATTCCTGTTTTTTTGTGATGCATGCCAAAAAGAAAAAGTTGAAACAGATGAAGAAAAAAATATTTTAAAATTGTGATAACAAAATATTGATAAAGAATAACATTGCACGTAAAAAGTAAAAAAAAAAAACAGTAAATAAAAATATAACAAGATCAAAAAAGACACTAAATAACGTGAAAATCGGGATAAAAAAAATTCTAATTGTATAAACTGTTTATCAACAAAAAAAAAAAATTAAGTTAAATTCTGTTATTTTGTTAGTTTTGTTATTTGTTATTAATTTTTGTTTAACGACTTTTCGATGAGATAAAAGATAATGATAAATAAATGTCAGTTACTTATTTGCTAAACCTATTCATCACAAATCGATAAAAGAACTTTTATCCTCGAGCAATGCCGTCGTTGAAATATTTGTCTATAAGATTCAGATAGTCACAGTATGGATTTTCATTACAATATCAAGTCGATGATAATAAATGTGTGAGAAAGAAGAGAAGACTATTGTCAATGTGAGAATTAACAAATGGCATGATTTTTGTTGTGTTAATATTGTATTACAGGATGTTAGCCATCACGCCGTCGCTAATCAATTTTTTGAAAACGTCACGGAAACGCAACTGTTTTTGAAGGTTTTTTCCAGTAAAAAGCATTTTTTCATACTTTAGGTTTTGTTTTAGGCATCTCAAAACAACTTTCGTCGCAGGGGGAAGTGTTTTTTAGAAGTCGACATCGCCGCTAACTACAAAGTTCATTGGCTATACATCTTTAATTGTTTCATATCATTTCCTAGAATATACAAGGAATGCACTACAGCATGGGCAATCTTTTCTGCTCACTAGCAATTGCTTATTTAACCCTTTACCAGGTCCAGAAGCGCCACTAATAAAATAACCACACAAAGTATTAGTCTTTCCAATATGCCACTGATATGGACAGGTCGACCAGACATACTGTTCCTTGTGCAGGGTAGTTTGGTCACTCCAGTGACCCCATTGAGGGGAACGACATGAAAAGTTATGTTTTTCGAACATGTGGTTTTTGCTATATATGTAATACTTATTGACAATTTCGCATAGTTAAGTAAATAATTCACATTATTTACAAATACAAACGCCATTTGTCATTATTAGACATGGGTGAAACGATCTCAGTCCCGGTCCCAGAGCCCAAATTTTGTTTTGAGAAGGACCGTAACCAGAATCAAGACGTAAACCGGCTGCTCTCCTCACATCCATGTTAGATTCATGCCTAGACACAGGCGGAACGGTCCGGACTTGGTCCTGGTCCTGCTAAAAAGGCTTTAGCCCCGGGACCGAGACCGTCTCACTCATGTCTAATAATGACAAATAACGCTTGTATTTATAAATAATGTCAATTATTTACTTAACTGTGCGCAGTTATCAATAAATATTAAATATAAACCAAAAAAAAACAACATTTAAGAAAAAAAACGTTTCATATGGGCCCCCCTCCTCCCCCCCCCCCCAATGGTCACTAGAATTGTATGGCTTCCATCTCTTATCTATCTGGCTTTTGTGAAACTTTCGAAAGATATTGATACCAGTAGTAGACATTATCATCGATATATATATCACATAATACGTCCCCAAGATGTATCTTGCCTGTTGGTAGAAAAATAATTGTTAAAAAATTTCAACTCTTGTGGGTTTTTTTTATACCTCATTGGTTTTGGAGGTAGAGCAACAAAAACAAATCTTTTTTTAATCAGTCGATGATTTTATTTTTTTATTTTTACTCACGAATAGGATATCACAAAAAAGAACAAAAGACTTGTGGCATCCGTGGATACCCTGTGATAACCTAAAACTAAAAATTTAAAAATAGAAAAAAAAAATAGGATAACTTATGGACTTCGCTACAAGGAATGTTCCCAAAGTTTTTGAATTCCATGCTTCTTTTATTTTTTATAATCATACTACAAATGGTCACTCCAATAACCAAGGAAGGGTAAAGGGTTAAAAGAGCCCCCTGGAAATGAGTGATCATATATATATATATATATAACTTCGTGTTGATGCACAGGTCGAATTGCTTTTTTACCTGTGACGTCTTCAAAAACTTAAGACGCTCTGCCAACAAGAAGTACGCGTTAACTTGCCGTTGCGAAAGGTTTTGTATTTTTGTACTGAGGAATACGGATTTATCGGGAGCCTTTACTGTGTGACTAGCTACAGACAACTAGTCATTATTTATTTTTATATTTATCTCTTAGACTTTGTTTATTCACGTAGCGTTATGACCCTTGAAAATGAGGATAGGTGACCAAAGAATTTAGCATCACATAATAATATTTTTAGTTTAACTTTTATGCAAAATGATGGCTAAGGAAAATGTGTCAACGACAGAAAAAAGTATGTAGAATTTAGGAAATATTAGTTTTTGTATACAGTATTACTTGATGTTTAAAACTCTGAAATGGATAGAGAACCGAATTTCCAACAATCAAGAAAATCGTCGTTGAAGTTTCAGAAATAATTTCCGAGAAAGTAGAAATTCCGTTTTGATTTTCTATAAACTGAAATGTAATTCAAGATTACAGTGTAGACAACAGAGACGGGAAAATACCATTCATTACATACATCAGCTAAGGAATTAGTTGAAAAATTAGGAACTTGTAAAAGTAATTGTTGATATCTCACATTAAATCGGTGATTTCTTCGCCGTTCTGAGTGATGGAACGGATCTCCAAATGGAATACAAATTTAAAAACATATTAGGATCATAGGGAATTATTACCGACTCGTGCACCATTCTGTTTTTCTAATTCGTGAATTAGCTGTGTCCCATGTATCTATTCTTCTGATTCTCTCTACCACAGATAAATGAAAGCAAAACGAAACACTTTTTTTGCGAGTGAATAACACTTAGTGAATCAGTGATGGCTATAAATAATCAGACGCACAAGAATCATACGTAAAACATAAAAAAGGGCATCATTCTCAGCCTAGCATTCCCGTCCTCCTAACTATTCCTATCTAGTTGTAGACACAAAACATATGTACAGCCCCTTTGATTAAGAATAACACGGGAATAACAAAGAACACTGATCGCTACGCAACGTTTCTGCTTTAGTACTAAGATGAGTCGTCAACCTAACTTAATTGGATTGAAAATGACCTTAAATCGGTTGACAGCGATCATAAGTGTAAATAATGTGATGCGATACAGTATTACAAAGAAAGTTCTACATTTTAAAATCTCCTATGAGTTGATGACATTTCGAAGTTTATCGAAACGACATTCAGAAAAAAGTGACAACAAGCAATGACAGGTGTCATTGTGCCGACATAACACAAAGGATTACAATACCGAGACTCTTGACTGAGACTGACTGATTAAACATTCAGATAATTCAGCTCAGAATCAGACAGATACAAAATACAAAAATTTGTGAAGATTCGCTCAGAAATTCAGACCTGAATTCAGAAAATTCGCTGCTGATTCAGGACTGAAAAGTTAAGAAATTAGAATCAGCTCAGACGTATAGGTCTGAATATTGACTAGTAGATGAAGGGACAATTTTTCTTTTCGTGCCATATACAGCCTATTGTACAAAGACACAAACACAACGCGGCACCGACAGAAAGGGAATTTTTTCTTTTCTATTTTTCCATTGTAAACTAACTATAGACACTATGTAGATATAAGATAATTTCTCTCGCTTCCGTGGTCCTCACGTCTAGATAGACCATAGCTATACGTTCACTACCGATAACGGAAAAGACTTATGACTACTATGTACTTCAGTATCAGTGTATGAATATACTGAACAGGTCTGGCTTAAAAACAAGTTTCTTTTTCCGATCCTAAAAACAACTATCCATGGTAAAGGTTAGATAATGTTTTTTAATTGTTCACAAGTTTTCTCCAGCACAACTTTTGATACTTTTCTGTTAGAATCGACCTACTGCATTGACTTCCACAGTTAAAAGAAAGATATGATTGTGGACTGTACACGCATCTAACCTAGCTGAATTTTTATTCCCGGCGATACTTTAGCGGAACTTTTTTCTCTCCTATTGTTGCTGATCCTGTCTCCTTTTGATAGTAACACAAATACCGTTGTTTATACATGAAAAAAAGAATTTTTCCTATTCTCAGTCGCTACTAATCCTTTCATGAATACTGATTTAGATCAGCGTTTTTAACGATCTCTGTTTCTCATAAATGAAGTGTACTCATGAGCAGCGACATTTTGAAATTACCACACTCTAGGAAAAACTAGTTAAATTTGATTAATGTGGATGATCTGCGGTGTACATTTAAAGAACTGTTGGACTGTTGTGATGATAAAAATATGGTTGTTTCCTGTGTATACTAGCATTACCAATGTTTCACATATGAATCGCGTAAAAACAAAAAACAATATGAATTCAAAACACTTATACAAAATTATCCTCATTTGGTGGTGAGCCACAATGGCGATGTCAATCTGCTTCGACTGTGACGTTTAACCAGATTTTTCGGGTGATATGCAGCACGTGGTCGGTTATGATAAATCTTAAATAAATGCAGAGAAATACATAGGACGAAAATGTGATGAGATCATAGGAAAAATGACAAGATACGTGTTCTTTCCATCGAAAATTCCTATCTTGTAGTTCTTTAGAATAGACGATTTTGCATACGCCGAAAATGAAACAACGTTTAGTGTGTGTTGCCACAATGTTTTCTAATTTGCGAGGACATATCGGCTAGAAATCATGGATAAAGATATATACTGTTTCTCTTTCTCTCGAAAATACAGATGAAAAATTAAGTCAATTTTTTTTATATAAACAGGTGAATTTGACGGTTTTTTGACTGTTGGAATATAGATTTGAATGTGACTAAAAGTATTGATAGGTACTTGAACAAAATGGTACTAATGGACTTAACAAAGAGTAGCATGAAGCAGGATCATCCAGCCAGTCATAGTCGTTTCAGAAAAGCGCAGGAAATTGTTTACGAAAAATTCGGTCCAAGTGTCATGTTGTATGGGCTTGGTATCCACTTGGTTTTGCAATGGTTGCATTTAGTTTACGTGTTCTGTACTTACTTTTATTTTGTTATTTAGACACGTATATTTAATACAAATTATATTAATGAAAATGAAATGAAATTTAACCCAAGATTGATTGGACTAATATCCACAGTAACATTAATATTGATTGATATGTGTTTGAATATGACACTCTCGACATACACTTATTCACAAATGCCATTTGGATATACCTATGTTTTAATTAATTTGTACGTAAATTATTGCATTTGTTCTTCCGTTGTTTTTTGCTTATTGGTTAGGGCAGGTTTCACAGCCATGTATAGAGATTCAGTCTCCATCAAATCCATTGAAAAATTTGCTTCGGAAAAACGGATGATTAATTAAAGCGACACCTTTAAAATCTCAAATCAATCTCCTTAAAATCTGCTTGGTTTCATGTCTGATTGGCGGAGATATTATGCAGTGTAGTTTATATAGTTCTTGACATAAGATTGATAAGCCGAAAAATGTTGATGTTCCATAAAAGGACTTTTGTCTTTTTCCATAATGGGACCTTTAGTATCTGCAAACACACTGCGTATATCACACGGATAAATATATATGCTTTGTCGTTGTTGTCAAGCTTTGTCTCAATATCTCTCTCAATCCTACGATGTTGCAGTTTTTGAAATTGACGTTATTGCACCTAAGTAAGAGAAAATGAATGTCTAGAAGTACGTTTTTTTCATAGATTAAGTAATTTGAACACTTATTTTACCAATTCAATTGATTCACTTTGATTGGTCGTATTTCGAGCAGATATTCTCTGCATTGATCTCTGTCTAAGATAACTATAGCATTACTATTTGTTTTTCCATTCGTTAATTTGTTCTTTTCAACGTTTTCTGATTGAAGTGAGTCTAAACAATTGATAACACGATTAGCTCAATAAAATGACGTTGTTGTCGACATCGATTTATTTTTTTCTTATATGAATTTTTGTATGAAAGAAAAAAAAACACTTGTACTTCTTTTCTTAAGAAAAATATTATTAAAAGTAAAGATCTTTTTACAGAAACATGTTGCAATTAAAAAAGTACAGGAACTAGTACGTGTTCTTAAAAACTGTCTAGGTACAGGAGTAATTGACTTGATATTTTTATTTTTCAGATCGAAATAGTTGAAGATGACGACGATCCAGTGTCGGGTAATCGAAGATTCAAAACTCTTAAGCGTCCGATAGATTACTAACGAGGAAAAGTTTCGTTCTGCAAAAGCTATATGTACGACGGTAATGGCTAGTTTTATGTATGAATGAATCGAGTTGTTATACCTAATGTGTAGCATAACTAAAATCCGGTCATAACTGGTTTTTAGAATAAGTACACCGGTGAATAATTTTGCTTATAACAAGGGTCAGGAAACTCGACATTACCGCTCTTTATAACAAGAAACTACGTTTTACACAAACAGTAAGAGAAATAAGTGCACAAAAACAAGCAGAAGCAGAATTATGCTTCTCTCAAATGTACAACTTATCCGAGGTTCATTAGTCTCAAGTATTAGGATTGTATGTATTTTATGAAAACGCAGTTTGATTATAATAAATGAAGAGAATGAGAGTCTACATTATAAAATAAATAACTAAACAATTAAACTCCATCACGTCTCTTTTTCACTCACTCCCTGTTTTTTCTTTAATTCCAGCGGCCAATCTGGCTGCTTCAGCAAGTACTGCCCAATCTTTGTCTTCATATCCATGAGCTAAAGCTGTGGTTATATGATCATGAATGACATTCGCGTAGGGCAATGGTACACCAACTTCCTCGCCTGCCGATATCATCATGTTTACATCTTTCAAGCCACCACGTAATGCAAAACCACCTTCATTTTTATAATTCCGTGTTTGAACATTTTCACTGTAGGCTTGTAAAGCGGGATTGGGAATAATAATATCTAGAATTTTCTTCGTTAAATTTGATGGTACATTCCATTTTTCATTTAACGCATACACTTGACCGAATAAATCAATACATGTTACAAGAGTGTAATTAGCCGATAGTTTCAATACGTTCGCATGTGCACAATCTTCACCAACTTCTACAATTCCATCTTCCAATGTATAACATTGAACAACAGGTCGACAACGTTCCACAGCTGATTTTGAACCACCCAAGAATGTTCGAAGTTTTCCACTAGCAGCAACATCAGGACGACCAAGCACCTACAAAATAATAAGAATAAATCAAAGAAGAATACCGATCAATCATATGTATACTGGTCCAGCAATATAATGAACGCCATGTTTTTTGTGTAATTCAGCTAATTCTTTAGCAGCCATCGGACTAATTGTTGCTATATTGATATGTATAGAATCTTTTCGAGCACCTGCTAAGAGACCATTTTCGCCTAAAATACAGTCGTCAATCAGCTGTAAATAGCGACTATATACCCATTGGAACCTTTATATAATTTCTAATTAATTTAAACTAATTTTTTTATTACAAATACATCGAAAAATTAATTAACAGAAATCAATTTCTTTTTTCTTAAAATTAGTTGCAGTTTTTTTATTTTTAAGTTGATTTGAATGATTTTTATTTTAAATTCGTTAAAATTTCTTTAAAACTCGAAATTATTTAAAAATTCCCATAATTAGAAATTTTTATCTGATTTTGGTATTATTTACATAGATATTTTTTCAAACGCTGAGCAAGAAGCATAATATATTACCGTTTACTGATTCAAACACTGCTTTTTCATTAAATAAACAACTAACTATAACATCGGCATTTTGAGCTGCTTCTTTTGGAGACGAAGCTGATTTTGCACCAGCGTCGACTAACTCCTAAACGATCAAAAATGGAAAAACATCAATGAATTCTTTTAATATTTAATATAGTATTAGTCACTTTTGCTTTTGAAGCTGTCCTATTCCAAACGATAAGTTTAAATCCATTCTTTAAAATATTATGTGCTATAGCGCTACCCATTCCTCCAAGACCGAGAAAGGCCACATCTAATTTGTCGGAAGACATTGAAAAATCTAAAGTTTAGAATTTAGAGAAGTTTGCAGTCAATATAATAGACACCGAAAAGCATTTTATTCATTCATATTCATTTTTTCCCATTGTTCATTTTTCTTCAAGATGATTTACTTGCTGCCTTTCTTATTTTACATTGAGCGCTTTGTTTTATTGTTGCGAAAACAGCACTTCAGAAATTGGTAAACAAGTAACCCTACAAAAAAATATTTTATCGACACTAGTTGTGCACGGATGCGTACCGATGCCGAATAATTTTTTTTCTGGGCACCGATGCATATCGGTGCCAGAAAAAATGTAAAAATCTCACCGGTAAAAGTCGCACCAGTGCCGAAGTTTTGTTTTCAATCACCATTTTGTTTTGTCAATTTCTGTCTATATTAACACCACAGTCTACTTCTAATATTTCGAATGTCTTTCTGACTTCATATTTTTCTTCTCATAAGAGAAGTGCCGAGGAAATGCCGCATGGCTTTGGCATGTCAATGTGGTACTGATCAGTACCACACTCTAATACAAAATTCAGTATAAACAACTATAACAAAAAACTAATTAAATTGATTAAATAAATTTAAGTGCGGCACCCATACGGCACTTGCTGGGCACGGGTGCGCATCGGTGCCAGTGATCTATGGCATGCCATGCGCACCGATGTACACTGGCAGTGCCGCACTGGAATTTTTTTTATAGGGAAATAGCAACACTACTCATGTTCATCTGTCTTTTTTTTAATTATATTTTTCACAACTTAGTATGTAATCAGTGATTAAGTGGAAAAAATGCACTTACAGTAAGGGGACACCTGCTATATCCTGATCGGGATATAGAAAAAAATTAATATCCGGATCGGGATATAAAACAAAATTCCGTCGTAAAACCGATTAAGGGAAAAACGACGACATTATGGGAAAAAATTCACCCTACCGTTAGAAAGAGCACGAAAAACTACGTCGGATTCTGTTGTGTTTGATTAAAAGTGTATCAAGCACTCGGTAACTATTTTTTAGAACAAAAACTTTTAACAAATTTTAGTCAAATTTATATCCCGATTGGAATATAGGCGGTTAACCTTTTATTGCTCAGAATGGGATATACTTTTGATCTAATCGCTTTCCGCACCGATTGTCTTTTTTTATTTATTTCTGTTCGATACGCACATATATTGAAACACATTTCTTTTCTGATGCGTAGACAATACATAAGCACACGTGCTTTGTGTTTAACGGAGAATTTTTTCATTCATGCAGATAAACTGCCTTATGTTTTTTATAAGTAAATCGCAACTTGCTCTATCTTTTAAAACGTATAGTAGTCGTGAACATTTCTGAAGATGCCAAAAGAATATCATCATTCCAGTCGTTGCGGCATTTATACTCGTATTGCCTGGCATGGCAGCACCCCTTTCAAACTAATTAGATTTGATGAAAAACATGATAATGTGAAAGTAAGAAATTGCATCAACGAACAAAAATTTTTTAACCGTAATTGTTCGTTTTTATACACAGTTTTAAATACAGATATAAAATAGGTACAGAAAAATATCTATTGTACGAATTAAAACAGACAAAAAAATCGTACTATAGATATCTGCTTGTTCGACCATAATTATGATAAACGACACGTATTTAATTAATACTTCAATTATCCTCTTCCATTAGAAAATCTATGTCATTAATCAATATGTTTTTTATCATCTATCGTCGTATAAACTTCATATTTTGTCAGATAAATGCAACAACATAAGAAAACTAGATGCCAACTACCCTAAGGGCAGATTGGAAACTCGATCGAGTGAAACGTATCTTAGAAACACTTTCGATACCGCTTGAATCCCTTAAATACGATTAGAACACTGCAGTGCTCTAGTAGTAAACATATGATGCATTCTATCGGTAATAATGTTTCAGACTATAAATAAAATGCATCAAACTATACGGAAGTATAGACTGACAGGTACCACGTGGCTACTTAATGAATCACTCTACACTATTCATACGGAATGTATATGAACTGTCACGTAACAATTAATTATCTCATAGAAAAGTTACTGAAAATATGTGCTCAACTTTTGGGACTCATTACTTAATACCTAAAATATATATCGAAAAAATACCTTCAGATGTGTCATCTACGGCTGTACTTTCGAAGCATCTTTTTACCAAATCTGTACGATCAGAATAACTGAGAACGAGTGGCTGGCTCGAAACAGAAAGTAGAATGTGGAAGAAAGAAAGAAGAATTTTTTGTAATGAAACAGAATAAATCTCTCCGAGTTCTGCTCGGTCGGCTTAATGAAAACCAGCAGTTGCTTATTTAGAAGAGCTCCATGGAAATGAGCGATCATATATACATATATATATATATATATATATATAACTTTGAGTTGATACACAGATTCAATTGCTTAATCTTTTCTTCAAAAAATAAAGACGCTCTGCCAGCAAGAAGTATGCGTTAACTTGCCGTTTGAAAAGATATAGTATTATTTCTTTGAGGAATATGGATTTATCAGGAGCCTTTTGATTGGTATGACTTATAGAATGTAATCCCAAAATCGGACAACTGAAACGGACAAAAAGAGCTCATGAACTGCTTATCTTCAAGCGATTATTAAATCTAATTATTAACTTCACGTGTCAAGTTTTAAACTTACACCATTCTGTCGAGTGTCAACTACATCTATAAAGGAATTTTTTTATTTATTCTTTGATGGCGCTTCTGATTGGTGGACCCATACTTCCTATTTCCTGAATGTTGAATCAATCAATGCAGCTTAAAAATGGGTTAGTTGCAGAGCTTTACGCTTAACTCTTGTGTCTAACTTATTTCGATTGGTATAGTATAATATTGTACAGGCTAAAATCGAGGATATTTATTTTGTACGCTTCTTATTGACGGTTATGGGAATTTGGGCTTATTTACAGTATTTTATAATTTTCTTTGCTACATTCTGCGTGTAAAATATTAGATTACATCGGTATTCTGATGTTGTTGGACTTCTTAACGTTCTTTTTCAGATTGTTAATGTATTCTGCACGAGCAAAATGTTTTAAACCTCAGAGTCATTATCCGACTGTTAGAGAACGTGCATTTTTTTCGTGTAAGAGAAAGTAGTTTAATAGTATAGTAAACTCAGGAAACGAAGTAGTTTTAAACTGAGCTTTGTCAATCAAACAAATACTGCGTCAAGAGTCATCGTGTTCGATAACGCATGTTTTATTCATATTCGGCGTTCTCAGAAACTGATTATGATACTCCCAGGAAATCCGATGCCTCGTTTGAACATTGATTAATACTTTCATTTTGTGGAAGACACTTTAGACCAGCCGTAGACGTGAAATGCTCGCATGTTACTTAGAAAAGAATAGAATCTTTCTTTAGACTCATTACATATTTACAGGAACTTTCTTTCAGATTGTGAGAATATTCCATTCTTTATTATTTTATACCTTCGTGCTTGTTTTGTATAAAAAGATTCGACATGGATGTTCATAATACACCACAAACAGATCAATTACAAACTGATCAAGTTCAAAATAGTGCTGGTATTTATAGCGGAAGAACACCTTTTCCTTTATTGTTTTCTCCATTACAGTTTTATATTTTAGGTGGTTTTGTTTGGACAGTCGATAATATGCAGCGTTTGCGACGATTTCTCTGTCTCGGATCCGAAGGCGGTACCTACTACATTGGTATACATGGATCGTTTTATTCCGACTAGTATCGATCTCTAATAAATGTGGGTTGTTTTCTATTTTCAAGGTGAAAAAGAATTGGGTATTGAAAACGCAAAAGGCGTATTGGAATTAATAAACGAGGGACGTGGAGAGGATGTAGTAGCTGAAGTAAAAAAATTCTCTTTAGAAGGTAGAACATCAAAACAGAATCCGATCATGTTCGTACTGGCATTATGTGCAAAATCTAATAATCTTCCAACCAAGCAAGCCGCTTACAAAGTGTTAGGTGATGTTTGTCGTATACCAACTCATTTATTTATGTTTATCAAATATGCACATGCACTTGGACAAGGTAAGCTGTGTTTCTAATTACACATTTCCTTTGTTATTATATTTTCCTTACCACATAACGTTAGGTTGGGGACGTGCACAACGAAACGCAGTATCAGCCTGGTATACAACACAAGATCCAAGTAAATTGGCAATGGCAGTGACAAAGTATCAAAGTAGAGAGGGTTACACACACCGAGATGTTCTTCGGTAATTCATTTTTATTGTTCACCTTTCGTTGCTATCTATACAAATAATTTCTGAAAACTAGACCGCACGTTATATCGTTAGTGCATAAACTACATAAACAGCGATGAAGGTTCTTTTCTCAAAGGCGGAGTGTTTTAGCCAAGGGGAAAAGGCAGCTCTGAAAGCTTGCCAGAGCTCTTGAAATGCTTTCTGAAGCTTGAGATGCGAAGCATCCGATGCTGAAGGATGCTAAGAAAGAAACAAGTCGCTTTTCCCCTCTTGGTTTTAGCTATTTGACTGTTGCGAAGTAGAGAATAACTTGAATATTTGTTGTTTTTATTTAGATTGTCTCATCCCAAAACGACTAATCCACTACTAAAATTCCTATTCGTCTATATCACAAAAGGATTAGAAAAGGCAATTGAATCCTTAGAAACGTCATCATCAACAACTGAAGCTACAGTTGAAACGAAGACGGTCGACAATAGTGATGCATCAAAAAATGCAACAAGACAAATTGTTAATGGATTGGACGAGGAAGCAAATACAAAAATAACAACGATAACTGAATTACAAGTATTTTTAGCAGCTGTTGAAAAGGCTAAAACATCGACAAATGAACAAGAATTAGTTGAATCGATTAGAAAATTTCATTTGGTGCGTGAACATATGCCCACAACCATTTTGGGTTCAGTTGCAATATGGTCAGCATTGTTAGAAAAAATGCCAATGACAGCAATGATACGTAATCTAGGAAAAATGTCTGAAATTAATTTGTTAAAAGAAAATAGTCAAGCTGAGAAACAAATCGTCGAACGTTTAAACGATCAACAACAACTTCGTCGTGCACGTATTCATCCATTTAACTTGTTAGTGGCATTAGAAACATATAAAAGAGGCGAAGGTATCAAAGGAAAATTGAAATGGAACGTGAATGAAATGGTGAAACAAGCATTAGAAAGTGCATTCTATTCATCATTTAAATTTGTTGAACCAACAAATAAACGTTTTTGTTTGGGATTGTAAGTAAATAGATTATTATGTTGGAATTTAGTTGCTATTCTTTTGATCGAACTGATTGTAGAGATGTCAGTGGCTCAATGGCAGGTGCAATGATAAACGGTAGTCCAACGATAAATGCAGCTGTTGGTTCTTGTGCAATGTGTATGGTTACAGTCAGAACCGAACCGTATACGAAAGTTGTTGGTCAGTGTTTGGCTATTTTTTTGATGAATTGACATACTAGAGTTTCCACACGACAGTTGTTCAACTTATACCACCATTGATAGCGAAAAAAGTTCGTTTTGAAAAATATCTCAGCTTCTTTTTCTGCGAAAATGTAGCCGTTGCGGTACGACATGGGCGGAACCGGGACTTAAAAAACGTTTTGACCGAAAGTGGGACTAAAACACATTTTGACTGAAACTGGAACCAACAATTTTTTTGACAATTTCGTAAAACAGCGAAAAATTTACCTTTTATCAATACTTAAATATCATTTTTTCCGGGATCGGGACTAAAAAACCTTGGTCTAGTTGTGGTCGATCTCTTGATCGATTATGTGATCTGCTAGAGTTTTCTATTTCTCATTGTAGCATTTAGTGATAAAATCGTTCCTGTAACCATTACAAAAGATCAAAGTTTAGAAACAGTAATGGATGTAACTCGCAAGATTTCTATGGGTAATACAGATTGTGCATTACCAATGATGTGGGCAATTGATCATAAAGAGGATATTGATATTTTTATTGTTTATACGGATAATGAAACTTGGTATGGAGAAATTCATCCAAGCGGGGCGTTAAAAAAATATCGAATAAAAATGAATAAACCACAGGCAAAATTGATTGTTTGCGGAATGGCATCGAATAAATTTACCATTGCCGATCCCAACGATGGTGGAATGTTGGATATAGTGGGATTTGATTCGGCTGCACCACAGATTATCAGCCAATTTTCTCTTGGACTTCTCTAATTGACAATTGTGTTGCACTGTTTCTTATTTTCAGTTATTTTATTTCTTTTTTACCCTTTTCTAAACATAGTGTTAGTTTATTTATTTTATTTAATCACAGACTTTTTATTCTTTTTTGTCTGAAGCACTTATCGATGCATTATGTATTCAAGAGTGTAGTGTCTTTTATAGCTCAGTTTATAAATAAGTTTTGGACTTTTTTAATCTCTTTTGACGTGTTTTATTTTTATGTTTTATCTACTTTTACAAATACTTCACGTATGGTTTTGTTTGTTTTGCTTATGCTGCTCAGATATTTACTAAATAACTATTGCTATGCAAGGTCAGATTACACATAATCTTTTTGAAAAAGGTCAGAGTATTACTGAAGTTTCTTTTTCTATGATTGTTTTCGTACTTTAACCAAGGCAAATTGGTTTTATATTGAACATTCGTGATGTGTTTGTTTTAAACGAGAAAAGTTTCTTCACAAAATGTCGACGACTATTTCTTCACTTTAATTTAGTTTCTGATTGATTCAAAGAACTGTTTAATAATCTACAAGAAAACGGGCTTTCCTTGAAGTCTCGAAAAGAAAGTTTTGACAGACGAAAAAGATGATAAAAGTCTGTCAAAACTGTGTTTTCGAGCCTTCAAGGAAAGCCCGTTTTCTTGTAGATTATTAAACAGTTCTTTGAATCAATCAGAAACTAAATTGAAGTGAAGAAAATAGTCGTCAAGATTTTTTGCAGAAACTTTTCTGATACTCATTAATATTTTTTTATTTATATTTGTATCATATTTTATAACCTTTTAATTAGTAACAAATTTATTTATCTTTAGTAACAGAAAAATTGAGCAGTGTGTATCCTAGTTATTTTTGTCGGACAATAATCAAGTTTTACTTTATTTGTTTTCTGTTGCAATATAAACATGTGCATTAGGCGATATGAAAGTATTATCTGCACATCTGTATGGAAAGTATTTTTTGTATTTGATCAGAATATTTAACCTTGTTTGAAATCCTGTTATTTTTACATTTTTTTTTGTCTATGTGTAATAAAATCTTCATAGGTACTGTTTGAAGTCAAAATTCTAGACAAATATATTAGCTTCATTTCAAAATCAACCTGAACCATCCAACATCTATTTGAACGGAGATTTTTAGAAAATACAAAATTCGGCATGGGAGAAGAATGCAAAAAAAATTTTTTTGAAGACGATACATATCTTGAGAAGTTTTATCTGATGGTTTCTTTGCATATTTTTAAGGTTTCCACTCAATTTAATATACATGTGTGCTAGCGATGTATTTGACTGTGTTGAATAGTTGTTTGCGAAAAAACTTTCACTTCTTCTCATAAGGCTCAAAAAGCAAAAGAGTTGCTGAGACAGTCTAAAAACATGGTTTTGGGGGACAAATGAACGAGTACATTCGAAAACGAGACTTTACTATCATATCAATTAATATTTGTCATAAAAGTCGTCATTTCTAAGAGGTCTTTAATAGTTTGCAAATTTTCAGATTAACTGAAAAGTTGAATTGGATGGGCTGTATGTGTGTGTCAGAGCCCAGATTAGGATTCAGATCAGATTGGAATTTTATCGAAGATATTGCCAGTAAATTTCTCAATTCTGATCCTGTGTAGTTAAGTACAGAAACAAACATTAAACCTGAACATCACTGCGCTATGATTTTACAAAAACAACACTACAGAGAAATAAACACAAAATATAACATCAAAAACATACAATAACCTATCCAAAACTCGAGTCGAAAATAAAGTTCTAGCATTCGTCTCGAACAGTAAGGGACAAAATAAAAGATGGAACAATGGGACGAAATCAGTGAGAATTCTCATTCTCGAGCACCAAAGGAGAAACGTTAAATTCAGATCATTCGACAACAATTAAATGCCCAGTTCATTTTATGCTGAATAAATGAGAATTTTCCTTCAACACCAACGTCTTGACAGTAACACTTCTAATAAAGTTATAACCATGCTAATAATGAACACCACACACAAAACACTCATTATTCTCCATGAGAATTCTCATTTCAAAATGTTCCGTGTCCCATACATTGAATTGAATAAGTATTAGCTCAAACTAATGATAAATGCTATTCGATATGACCTTATTTCAACCTGTGTATCTAACAGAGTATACAGCTTGTCCAGTTAACGCCCTCCATTTCTTTCTCTTTCTCAAAAAGTTATTGCAATAAAGCTAC